TTTACCCCATTTAGTTTTATAGTTATATGAATTTTGATAACACAAATATAAAAATGACAACATATATATGGATATATAGTACTACTGTCAAGATACAGAATGTTACTTTGTTCTCCTTTACTTCTTTTTTTAAACAAATAGAGAAATTAATTTTAATACATTTTCATTTAACCCAATGGATTATCAATATTTTAAATTCCCCTTATATTTCTGCACTTGTGTATTTTTGTGCTCTCCTTTAAAAACTTGTCCTAGGCAGTGAAGCTACCTATTTAATTTTTGTTTGTCCAAGATTTTGTTCTTAACTAGATACATTAGTTCTGTTTTTTTTTTTATTTTATCCATTGCTTTCTGCTTTTCTTTATTATTTTTGTGTTGTTTCTTTTGGATTACTTTTGCTTTTTTTTTCCTTCTTAAAATACCTTGATTTGAAAGCTTAACTCTTTTTTGGTTCATAGTAAAGTTGTGAATTTTCCTTATGGCTTTGAGCATTTCCCACAGTTTCTGAAGAATTGAGATTTTATTATTGTTATTTTCTAAATTAATTACAATTTTTAATTTGAATTTCTTTTCTTGGTAAGATTGATAATTTCTACTTTTTTTCTTCTTTTGGTAGTAGAGCACTTTGTTTTTCATTTTTGTTAATTACGGTAAGCTGAGGTCTCTTAATAATATATAATTTCTTATATAATATAAGTAATTATATTTCTGCCTATTTCTCATTGATGTTTTTGAAGTTGTGACTTTGGATTTGGATCCTATGTTATTTGCTATATAAAAATTCATAATCATTAGGTCTTTTTTTTTAAAGAGAGAGAGAGAGAGAGAGAGAGAGAGAGAGAGAATATTTTAATATTTTATTTTTTAGTTTTCAGCGGACACAACATCTTTGTTGTATGTGGTGGTGAAGATCAAACCCGGGCTGCACGCACGCCAGGCAAGCGCGCTACCACCTGAGCCACATCCCCAGCCCATAATCACTAGGTCTTTATTGTGAACTCTATTTATCTTGATATAACAACCATGTTCATGTATTTTTTTCTATGAAAGAATTGCCCCAGTTATTGCATGGCTAAGACTTTTCTTCCTATTATAATACCTGTTCTAGGGGCTGGGACTGTGGCTCAGTGGTAGCGCACTTGTCTGGCATGTGTGAGGCACTGGGTTCGATTCTTAGCACCACATATAAATAAATAAAATGAAGGTCTATTAACAACTAATATATACACACACACACACACACACACACATATATATATAGAGAGAGGGAGAGAGAGAGAATTTCAAAAAATGTTTTTTAAAAATAATACCTCTTCTATTTTTCTTCCCATTTGAAATCTGTCTATCATCAAAACTCTGCACATTCCATAATAAACAACCTTATGAATTCATAACTTCTACAATTTTACCCATAGCTTCAATTATAACATTAGAGTTCCAGATGTTTCTAGATACTTTATTAGCACAAATAAAACAATGTAGAATGTGGATGAATGTTTTTCCCATAAAACCAACCAATCGATCAAACACACAAACTTGTGACTCAAACAACAAGAGGGAGTAGGAGGCAGCAGCTGGGCCCTAGAGCTGTTCATAAAGAGTCACCTGTGAGGCTGGTTAAAAAAAAAAAATTAGGTTCTTGACTCTCCTCCTAGTGACCTTAAATCTCAAGATCTGAAGGGGAAGGTGGGGACAGAAATGAAAATTTCAAATAAATACTCCAAGTGATTTCATTGAAGATGGTCTGTAAAGCCCCTTTAAAAGCACATTCATAGGAAAAGGGTTATAGCTAAGATTTAAAGGCAAATATCCTGAAGAATCATAAAAATCATTGGTCTTACAATGTTTGCCTACATTGAGGTCCTGGACTCCCTTGGGAGCATGAGCTAAAATGCCAGGATCATTTTCCCATGGGGTTCCATAGCTGCATAGGACATCTCTGTGTGGAGCTACCAAGAGAACAATGCTACCAAGACTCATGCCTTGATTTCAGATCTTCTCTTGCCCTCTGCAAATGCTTAGGATTTTTCTTTGCTCAGATCGCTTATCTTACCCTATATCTTGCCATCCAAGTACATCTCTGATGCATAGGAAGGAAACACAATGTCTCCCATGGAGTCTATACCAATCCATTCCCTCCTCAGGAATTAAATGCTTATATCAGCAATATATATTAACTAACACAACATCTTAACTTTAAGAGGATATTTTTCTTTTGCCCCTTTAGGACACTCTTCATTCACTCTTCTGATAAAAGTAGCTATCTTTTTCCTCTTCCTTTCTCCTCCTTCTGGCCTTGCCCCTTGTATTAGTGTTCTGCAGCTGCTGTAACAAAATACCACAAATTGGGTGGCTCAGACAACAGAATTTTAGTGTCTCATAGTTATGGAGACTATAAATCCTAGGATAAAATGTTGGTGGATTTGGTTTCTTCTGGAGGCTGTGAGGAAGAATCTGTTCCATGTCCTTCTCCTAGTTTCTGGTAGTCTGGTATTCCTTAGCCTGCAGATGCATCACCTAATCTCTGGCTTCATCTTCACATGGCATTCTCCCAGTGTGTGCCTCTCTGTCTAAATTCCCCCCTTTTATAAAGACACGGTCATATTGGATTAGAGCTTACCCTAGTGACTTTATATTAACCTGATAATCTGCAAAAACCCTATTTCCAAATAAGGTCACACTCATAAGTATCGGTATCATAATTCCTGTATCTTTGGGGAGAATACAGACCAACCCATAAACTCCCCTCTTTTCTAGGAAAACAACCAATGCTTTCAATGGCTACTGTTACTACTAACTCTACTTTAGCTTTTTTTCCTCTTTTTTTTTTTGACTTTTTGTTTGATTTTGATTTTTACACCCTAGCACTCTTACAGGTTGATTAATCAGGCGGTTAATTATATTTATTTATTTGTTTAGTTTTTGGTACCAGGGATTGAACTCAGGGACACTCAA